ATCCCTCTCTTTCTATCCCTCTCTCTCCCTCTCGCTCCTTCTATCTATCTCGCTTTCCCTGTTCTATCACGCTATCTCTATATCTTGCACCACGGCCTTTATGGTAAAACTGGCCTACCACCACCATTACTGCTCCCATCCGCTCATTATCCCACCATTCAGCTATAGCAGTAGTAAGACAAGTCTCGTCGAGCGTTAACCCACCCACACTTCCCACACACGCGTCCACAAAGCCATAGGGAAGGTTCGATTCCCGCCAAAACCCGGCGGGTGGCGGGAGGTGAGGGACGGGGGTCGATGAGCGCTGAGGTGTAGAGCGGGAGGAAAGAGGAACAATGGCACAGGAGAGACTATACGCGCGCTCTGTCAGGGTTCGTTGTCCTACCATTATGTCGGCTGCCATCCGCGGCCTGGGGGCGGACTGTAATCACATACCATCACCACGCACGCGCGCACGCACGCGCGCGCGCACACACATACACACACACACACACACACACACACACACACACACACACACACACACACACACACACACACACACACACACACATACAGTCTGTCTAAAGTATGTCTGTTGGAGCATTGATTGAGAAAAAAACTACATTAGTATGAAATCAAGATCAGATTAGTATGAATAGTTCATAATAGAAAATGGACGTTTCTATTATGGACTCTTCATTAAATGTATGTGTAAATACAAAAATAGCTAAAACTAGATCCGGTCTAATCTATTCTTGTTGCATACATGATACAGTATGCTGCATTGCAATACAACTCTGGCCACAATCATAAGTATCATGTTTGCAAGTGATCGCACTTAAAAGATGTTTGAACTCGGTTGTTGGCACATACAGTGCACTCGGTAATATTTTGTCCTTGTAGATCCACTTACTCGCGTTACATACATACATGCGTCTACTGCTGTGGGAAATACCAGCCGATCATATCCTGCCCCACTGCTATGGCGCCAGCAACCGTACGGTTGGGCTGTGTGAAGTAGAAGTGTACTAGCTGGTCTTGCTACCTTATTAGCAGGCAGGCCAGCCGTCTTTGTGAGACTCACGCGGGCATAATAAACGCAAACCGGGACTCCCCAGTGCCCAGCCATCGTAAAAAGAACATCTTTTATGGTTAAGAAGAGCTTAAGTTTAGTATGGATTAGTATGTATTTATCCCCCCTCTCTTGCACGCCTTCTATCTTTATCTTTCTCTACTATCTCTCCCTCTCCTTTTTCCTATCTCTCCTCGATATCTCTCCTTCATTCTTCCCACTCTCTCACTCTCTAAGTTTCTACTTCCAACTTGAGACTTCATTTCTTCATGTGTGGTTCGGAAGTGATAGTGGAACTTTGTCAGAATATTGTTTTCATCAAGCCTCGCAAATAAAAATACCTAGTTCTAAGATCGTATTGCTGTTCTCTTAAGTTTAATACTGCTCCTATGTTTTGCAGGTTTTATAGACTCGCCGACTCCAATTGACTCGCCTTCTCTAGAATTTCGGTATGTTTTCTTTAATTTACACATCTGTTGTTTTTTGGGAAACATGAGACAGACTTCAGGGCACAGGAGTAGGGTAGATACGATAATGTAATCCAAACACAGGGGTAGGTTTTTTACACACCCCTGCCCCTGTGTTTGGGTTACATTATTGTATCTAAGGAGTAGGGTAGTAGAGGGGTACAGGGTTAGGATGGTGGTAGCAGGGCACTGCGGGGTAAGTTGATGATAGCACAGTGTGCTACTGTGTGGAAACATGAGCTGGATATCCTGGAGGTTGTAACGTAGAGGGGGACTTGCACTTGTCTACCACATGTGCAAACATTTCTTCTGTCTCTGCGCCGACTCTGCAGAACAGTATACCGTAGCTGTCACGCTGTTTGTTGTCGCTTCTGTTGGACGTCCAGCCAGTCCTATAGTTTGTTATGCTGGAGAGAGAGAGAGAGAGCGAGAGAGAGAGAGAGGGGGGAGGAGGGATGGAGAAAGCGAGAGAGAGAGAGAGAGAGAGAGAGCGAGAGCGAGCGAGAGAGAGAGTGAGAGAGAGAGAATCATCATAGTGGGGTCTGGTGTGGGTAAGGCTTTGTGAACGAGCCTGTGTTTGTTGCTACGGGAATCCACTGCTGGGTAAGTGACAAATTGTACGGAGCGGAGCGACGCTTTGTGCTTCGCTAATGGCAGTCAGTTGAGATGGATAAGGTCACTAGGGTGGCAACTGTTTTAGCTCGTAAAGGTTCGCTATATACAAAGAGCGCACAGACTCACGCGCGTCATACGCCTTATTAAGCATTACTTAGTGCGTGCTGCCTAATACGCGAAAGTTTGCACAGCATTCTCCTACTGGCACCTGCCTGCGATCAACCTGCAATAAAGTTCGTCTGGCACCCTGTTCTAACTGTCTTGCTTCTCAAAGAGGTTGTAAGCGGTTGGAAACAACCGCTCATTCAGATCTAGCTATCTCTTTTAGAGTAAGCTCTTTTTTCTCGGCGAACTGAGAATTACCCATTTTATGGTTGCAGATAGATTGTTAGGAGCTCTGTATCCATCCATCAATCCATCCATTCATCCGACGATCCATCCATCCATCCATCCATCCATCCATCCATTCATCCATCCATCCATCCATCCATCCATCCATCCATCTATCCATCTATCCATCCGTCCGTACATCCATCCACCCACCCACACACCCACGTATCTGTTTGAACTATATAAGACTTGCTGACATAAATATATCAAGTAAAAAAAATTGTCGAGTGCCAGCGTACTTAACGCCTTTACACAAAGCGCGCGTACGAAACTGATACTGCATGCATGCGTTCATATATACAAGCCACCCAATTTCTTTCTATATATAGCATGTATATATCTAAGTCTATACTTATATATATTATATATCTATGTAATAAATATACTCGCGTATTTGTTGTGCCTTGTCCATTAAACCAAGGACGCGTCAACGGTCCACCACTGATATGAATCATGTATACTCTGCCATACTGATATATTACGAGGATAGTGGCCTATATGATAAAAGTAGCATCAGTTTGTTCGCGTTGATAACGCTGGTTTCTCGAGATACAAATGTACGACCTTCCATCTAACCGACCTTCCATAAATAAGCTAGCGCACAGCAGTACACCCTACACTAGTGTTAGTATATATATTCGATCTTCTATAGTTTATATTCAGTAGTCTATATTCTATTTTCTATATATTATAGTCTACTATATAGTCTGTTCCTTATTATAAAAATAGACTCTTACTATGGGTAGGTCATAGGATAAATCTGCTTGAAAGTACTATAACGTATGTACGTGAGTGCACTGAGATATATGGAACCCTATTTGTGTAATAAAATTTTTATGACAGATAACAGCGGCGCAAAATTCAGCAAGAACATCAAACTGCTCTATATGAGAGGAAACACGTACGCGCGTACGCGCACATGATATATGGATACCGGAATCGTGGTTGAGAAACTCCTTCTCTTCCTTTCTCTCCCCATCTCTCTAATTCTCTCCTGCTCGCTCACTCGCTCCCCCCCCCCGCCCTCCATATCTCTCTCGTTGTCTCCCCTGCTCTCTCGCACGCTCTTTACTCCTGTTTATCTATCTATCTATGTCTTTCCTCGCGCTCACACCCGCACACACACACACACATACGCACGCACACACGCACGTAGGCACGCACGCACGCACGCACACACACACGCACGTAGGCACGCACACACTATTTACCCACCTATCTATCTATCTATCTATCTATTTATCTCTCTCTCTCGCTCTCTCTCGCTTTTCTCTCTCTTATCTCTCTCTCTCTCTCAATCTCTCTCTCTCTTTCTATCCCTCTCTCTCCCTCTCGCTCCTTCTATCTATCTCGCTTTCCCTGCTCTATCACGTTCGTCTATATTCTTGCACCACGGCCTTTACTAGGTAAAACTGGCCTACCACCACCATTTACTTGCTCCGCATCCGCTCCATTATCCCGACCTCAGCTATATAGCCAGATAGTAGACAAGTTCTCGTCGAGCGTTAACCCCACCCACTTTTCCCACAACACGCTTGTCCACAAAGCCATAGGAAGTTCGATTCCCGCCAAACCCGCGCGAATGTGGCGGGACCGGTGAGGGACGGCGCTTCGCTGACACCCAATGATGCGTGAGGTGCCTTAACTACATAGAGCAGAGCGGGAGGGAAAGAGGACCAATGGACCCACACGGAGCAGACTCTATATCGCGCGCTCTGTCAGTTTGCTTCGTTGTCAACCTACATTATGTTCGGGCTGCGGATCCGCGCGGCCTGCGGCGACTGTGATCACATTACATCACCACGCACGCACGCACGCACGCACAACCACACACACACACACACACACACACACACAACACACCCACACACACACACAATCGCACCAACACACGCAGCACACACACACACACACACACACACTACACACACACACTGACACGACACCACACACACAACACACACAAACACGCACGACACCAATGCACACGCACACACAGGCACAATCACACACTCACACAACACACACCACACACACACACACACACACACACACAGCACACACGCACACGCACACGCACACACACCACCACACGACAACACACACACACACACACACATGCACTACACAACACGTAGTCAGACCATAGTTAATTCCGTAGTTGTCTGACAGTCCCAGAATAGTGTATAGGCGGGTATGGTTTTTTTGGTGCGCTGCGGTTTCACTATATGGTCGTCTGGCGAAAGTATGGTAATGTAGCGAGTGGATCCGTGGTAGTATGCTGCGTATGCGAAAGGATTACGGTTGACGCGAACTGGATTTGCAAGATAATCCCCTTCATCTAGCTGAGATACTGGGCGATGGCGTTCTCGGGTGAAGAAATGTATGTCTCTGAAGTGAAGGCACACGGAGGGGTTAGGTATATAATACAGTGGAAGATAATGAGGTGACTAATATGAGACGGGTTTAGGGACGAATTGGAGGGAGGAGGGAGGAGGGGGGGAATGGAGGAACCATGTAAGATATCTGTCGGCAAAGAGAAAGTGGCAGGGAGGGGGGCCAGGTGGGATATAATGGGTACCGTAGATGAGTGACGTAAGGAGTTGGGATTAGATGAGGAAGGGCTTACGAGAACAGAACGGGGCGTGGGGGGCAGGTATAAATCGTATTAAGATACTGAGGGTGTGCCTCGATAGTGTATGTGGATTGATGGGGGGCGGTCGAGAATGATTGCCCATCAGTAATTAGTTGATTATGCTCGCCGTCCTGCTCGACGGCGGCGTGGGAGTGTGTTCGTCTACCTCGGCTGACGGGTGTGAGAGGACGGGATTAGGGGAAGAGTGAGAGGAGAGAGTCGAGCGGGTGAGCGGGTGAGAGAGGACGATAGGTGAGGGTGGTCGAGAGAATGAGCCGGGTTCCCACCATCGCCAATTTTATGGCGGCTCCTTTTGATACTACATGGTACAGCCGACGACGCCGATATCTCATACATCTTACCACTGATTGCTGTCATTTACTTTCATACGAACTTCATCCGTTCCCACCGTAGTTTCAGGCTCCTGTTATCCTATAGTTCTAGTGCCTGGTTGATCTCCCTCTGTCTCGTAGTCTCTGCAGTAACGGGTCTGTATTCGTGTCCACCAATCATGCACCTTCTTGGGTCCTTTACCGTTCTGCGTCCTAAGCCCTTTCTTAGTTTGCTGTCACTTATATCTTTAACTATGTGTCGAATAGGCGTCGTGCCCGCTATACTCTCCCTCATACTTTTCCGCGTCGCACCCACACTACCGTCTAAGCCAACTTCCTATATAACTATTCTTCCTTCCGTTCTGCCTCTCTTTAGACGTGCTAATCGCTCTATGTCGTGCGCATCTGATTTTGCATATTGAAAGCGCACTCAGTTAATTCTCTTTCGTGTCTCCGCCTCTCTTCATCTGTATCCTGTCTTTTTCTTTGTTTCTTGCACTTACACCGCCTCGTTCCGCTTCTGCCGCTATCTGCTTCTTGTTTTGCATATGACTTCCAGATAGCTTCTCGTATTGGGACGGCTCTACTCTTTGGGGGTGCTCCGTTGGGTCCGTACCTCCTAACGTCACCGCATGAATCTTTATTTACCTTCTCCGCTTTCTTGGCTTCGAGTTTCTCGTATTGTTGCTTAGCTCGGCGAGCTATACCGCCGACCTATGTTATAGAGATTCGTCCGAGTGCGCGCCTTGTTGATCGAGATGGCATTGTGTTGTACTACCGCGGACTGCTTGCCCAATGTGAGACGGATCTGAGAGGGTGAATTGAGAATGGCTAGACCGAGAGCGAGACCTCTCTTTTCCACTCTGTCCTCTCCGCCACATACTGCGACTACCTGCACGACCTTGAAGACTGATTGGACGATGCGTGTACGTAAGATTGGCTTGGAGTTCGAACGACTGAAGATACCGACCAGGAGACTGCATGGACGACGATTGACTGAAGAATTAGAG